TGACAGGGACATTCTATAGAAATAAAGAAATGATGACTTAAAAACAAGACTGCTGATATTCTTGTTTCGTCAATTTGTTTTCAATTATTTTCCCCATTCAAGAAATTTTAGAAAATCCTACATAGAGCATGCTTTTGCGTACGGAATCAACAGAGAGTTAAACACCCTGTATGTATTTGATGAAAGTTAAAATTAGCAATTTTAAAACCTAAGTTTATAACTTCATAAAACTTGTACATAAAAAATGATAACTTATATTATTTTTAAATACTTCACTTAATTTTAAGTACTTTACTGTGGTCCTTGATATGTTACAGTTCCAAATATCCGTTTTCTGTTCCTTATCGTTTAAAAACAAAAGAAGATGGGGGAACAAGGCGGGCATAATGCCTATGGCGACAAATACATGCAATAAGAAAACATATTCAATATGATGTGAATTGAGTACTAGTAAATAGATCAACTTCCAATTATTGAATTTATTAGAAAAACACCTTTTTGTAAGAAAAAAAATATCGAAAAAATTATAAAAATACTAGATGGTTTTAGTGAGAATCGAAACCTAGCAATAAAAATCCGACAATTCATACTGCTTTGAGATTGAGACTAACGCCTTACCCACTATGCTACATGGTTCATGATGATTTGGGGCATTTAAATAATGTTTGTGATATACCGGTTACCCTTGACTTATTTGACTTAAAGTATTTGTCTAAAAGATGCGAATGTTTTGTCATAAAAGTGTACTTTTAAAGTGAAGTGGGTCTTCGCTTCATGTTTTAGTAAACCACAACTTGTATATTCTATTGCCAACTTTTAGGATCATCATTTTACAAAAAATGGAACGAAGACCCACTCATACAAAAAAAAATTGTTAAAGTATGAGAAAATGATCCTTTTTATTCTTTTTAGTGTGTTTATGCTTTTTCATAGGCAAATATTTTCAGTCTGTGTGAGATTTTTGTAAATTGTAGAGATTTAGATTAAATAAACTTCATTATTAGATAAAATATCAAATAAAATTCTGATATTATTGAGATTTGATTTTTAACTTTTTATCTGTCGCACTATAGGCGTTTCGGCGGCCTTCTCCCCTATCTTCTTTACGAACACCACTGGGCCGTCTTATTTAAACATGCTCATGTTAATTATCGAAGAATAGTTATTCAGTAGCTGTCGTATGGCACCAATGCACGGGTACTTGTGGAGAGGTAAATACCCCCCCCCCCCCCCCCGTCCGACGGACATGTCCATAAATTCCTTTGATAGCAAGTATCATACATATGACCAATATTTACAGCCAAAATATGTCTTGACTTAATTTGAAGCCTACTACTTTCAGGATACAGCTAATTTGTACTTGATCAAACTTTGTATCCACTGTTTCCGATTGCCGTATTTGGTTTTAACTCTGCTGTCATTGTTTGCCTCGTATGTTTCACCAAACAAAATTAAATGCTTTAGGCGCTTTTATTAAACAACAGAAATTATCCATATTTTGTCGTAAAGAGTCTAAATTTATTATATACAACAAGGAATGTGACCGTAGAATAGCAATTTTTATTATATTAGCTCAATTTGACCAATTTTTTTCTGAACAGCGATTGAAATTTAGATTTATTTTGTTTTTATTTTGTTTCAATAATGAATCATAGTTTTATATTTAACAGAAAACTAATTTAAGGTTCGATCAACACGGGAAACCACCATTCGAAAATAAATGAATGTTATAAATAGTCAAAAGTATAATATCAATTAGGTCTCTGTCATAGCGATAACACTCATAGTGTACGTATAATTTAAAATGACTCTCATTAAATAAAATATATCGTACCATTGCAATCAAACAATTTTTAAAAACAATGTTGAAAGATGAAACAAGATGATTGTTTACCATCATTAATACGTTTAATCCTCTTCCCTGCAGTCAAGCATTTCAACGCATATACCATTTCCTATTTCTAACGCAAATCACGCATATAGCGTTTCACCGCAATCACGCATTTTACGCACTTTAAAAAGTTCATTTAATCTTAAATTCAATGCCAATTTCCTTCTTTTTCATACTTGCAAAAATATCATAAAATAAAAAAAAGTTAATTTTGTATGAAGACATAACGTCAGAATATTATTTACGTTTAACTTTAGAGAAACGTGTACCTTGCTTAAAGGTGCTTGCGGGGAAATGGTAAATTCCTACTTCTATGGCGTGGATATTGAACGTATTTTGCATAACAGTTCAGTAATTTGTAAAGAGTTAAATTATGTGTACAGACGGGAAAATGTCTAAAAACTTAAAAAGAGATTAAAATGTTCAAGATGCTTCCGCAAATGTCAAAATATGTAACATACAAAAATAAAAGTTTTCAAATGATTGTAGCTTTATATAAATGGAAGGATTGACATTTTGAATGAATAAGTCGCCTTACAAAAACATGCAAAATGAGAGCGATACTCAAAGATATTCAATTTATGTATAAAATTTTTCGATTTTATATTGACTTCACGTAGTGCTTGAATTTTGAGTAAATGCTTCCTGATTGTTTTGAATGTGAAAACATCTCTGGCGGAAGTGACGTTAAAATGACGTAGCATTAGACATATCATGTTTATTATATCACAAGAAAGTATATAACTATCATAAAAATTAGAAGTTTTGCTTTACTGTTTAAAACGTCCTGTATAAAATGTTGCTTAAGTTATCTTTGCACTTCATTGAGTTTCAGTAAATGTCTCAATAATTTCCGAACAGCCCTCGTATACTGGGTATCTAAGACATTCTCTTTTCTGATTATTTTATTAACGAATGATTTGTCAATTATCTGTAATACCAAAGGTGCAAATGTAAAAATTATCAAAAAGACCTATATATTGACAGATATCAAAATCATATGATCTGGATTAAAATCATATGACCTGGCATCAAGCCAACACCAGCACGTAGATCGTCAAACAGTGTTTAGGAAACCATTTTCATAATACAGGTATGTTATTAATTAGCATTATTTTCAAATCACACATTTTGCATCGTTTTGAATGAAATAAAAAAAACAGTAGGTATATGTAAAATGTAGAATGTGCATATAAATTAATAAGGCTTAAAAAATGTAAGAAGTGTTAAACATTTTAGCATGATAGGTTGGTAATTTGCTAATTTATCATTAAAATGTAAAGACATGTACTATCAATAGGCGCTGTTTCATGTTTCATTACATCCGACAACGTCATGGTTTCTTAATATACTTTAGTTCATACTTTTTAATTGATGAGATTCAATGGAGAGGAGTATAGACTTGAAACGGTCTGTTTACCTAGCTTTACAGAGTCATTAAAATTGTAAATGGACCTGTGTATTTAAAAAACGCCCCTAACTTAATTTTGCTGGCATAATTTGCCAAACATAGTATAACATCTACCAAAAATAATCAATATTACAATTTAAAGTGATTGACTCTGGACACTCTCTTTTAAAGCTTTTTTATTTCTTCCTAGAACATCTAAGCACTAATAATTCGTACATTACTTTGAAAAAATATATAAAAGAGCTAGGTTCACTTTATGCACAAAATGGCCCTGTACTTATATCAATTAATTAACTATCACCCTCTTTCCCATTTCATATATTAAAATTGAGTAGACACTTCGTGCTTTCATTTCCTAAAATAAAATGTCCTTTAAAGAATCCAGATATTTGAAAACATACTTTGTGAAACTTTGTGAAAAATATTCATGTTTTTTTTTTTGATTTTCAAAACAGATTTTTTTTCATGAATTTGCATATTGTTTGCCGCTTGAAAAGGGGGGTATTAATTTTGGTCTGTCTGTCTTTTTGTCTGTTTGTAACGCTTTCGTTTCCACTCAATATCTCGAGAACCCTTTGGGCTTTCGGAAATAAGTTTAGGATAGTAACATTCTATGGACTAAAGAAGAACCCTATTAATTTTGAGATCAAGAGGTCAAAGTTCAGGGTCACAAATAAGCAAATTCTGATTGTTACAACACTTTCCTCTCCAGAATCCTTTGACCTATTGCAATGAAATTTTACATTACAACTCCCTGTGGCCTAATAAGGACCCCTATTGATTTTGAAGACAAAACGTCAAAGTTCAAGGTCGAGGTCCCGAGTTAAAGTATCGGACGGACCACTTTTATCGAAATACATTATTTTTTACTAAATGATAGTATTCAGCACGCAAACTGAGAAATTTACTAGGTCTGACTTGTACAAACTCATCAAATCATCATAACAGTGGGAGAAATATTCCATACAAAAAGAATTCTCAATACACATAATAAAGAATTAGCAATTAGATCTTTATATCCATATTGGTATATCTTATTTGCTTCAGTATACATGTATACATTTAATACTTCTACAAATTCAGTGAGGGGGATTCGACCCCCCCCCCCTCCGCCCTCTTTCTTTCTTGAACTGCGCATAATTTAGTTTTTCCCTAAGCGGGGGACACAAATTCTCTGAATTAGCTTTCTAGATGTTGTGCTCAATATGAAATATTGAAAAAAATGCATTCATTTTATGCCATTTTCAAAAGAATTTGTAGGATATGAGAGAAATGAAGCATTTTTTGACGTCATAATACATTGACTAGAGGGAAAATCATGTCATTATTAATACGTACATGTAATAACCAAGGGTCAAGTAATAAATACTGTATTTGCAACCTAAACTGAGCGTTTTTGATTTCTTAGAAGTTCGCAGGGCCAAAATAGGTCCATAGTGGCTCATGTTATTTCATAGAACTTAATGAATGACGTAGAAAACAATTAACTAAATAATTGTATCAAACAACATATGTGGTTAAACGAAATTCTCGTAAGAAGATCCGACGGCGTACACTCAATTACCATTGGTGTTTTTATACTTGTTATTACATTGTATTTACTCAAAGATACACACATATCAATTTGATGAAAAGTGGTTATTCAAGAACAGCTTTGTTTCCTAGATTTGGATGCATGAGAATAAGAATACACCTATCATGGAACCCCTAGGCAGAGCTCAGGTACTACTTCAATGTGACCTATGTCAAAGCACTGTTTTACAGAGTCATTGTGAAATTTGTCAGATTAACTTGTGTAGGGACTGTGTTGGGGAACATCTCTCTGATTCATCACAAAGACACAATGTTATACCGTACAAATATAGATTTCCTGCCCCTTACTACCCAAAATGTCCTGACCACAATACACATTGTGAGTTTTATTGTGAAGAATGTGACATTCCTGTCTGCTCTACCTGCAAATCCTCTGATAAACATCATGGGCATATATTTACAGATGTTTTGAAAAAAGTACATTCTAAGAGAAAAGAATTAGAACACGATTTTGAAGAACTAGAGGTACGAATAAATCCTACATTTGAAGAAATTACCCTAGATTTTAACTCCGAGAAAACAAAATTTGAAAACCATTATGAGAATCTGACAACAGCTGTCACTGAACAAGAGAAAAACTTTCAAAGGGAAATTAACATCATTGTTAAGAAACAGAAATCTGAAATTGATGAGATGAAAAACAAACACCTGGTTGCTCTTAATGAACATTCAGAAGAAATAAAACATATTACGTCAGATATAAAGCAGAGTATTCTGGATCTAAAGAAAATATTAGACTCCGATGACGTATCTCTAATCTCTGCTTACAAATCAAGGAATGATGAATTTAGATGTTTGCCTCCTAAAGTCAATGTTTCCTTACCACGTTTCTCTCCTAATCAAATAGATACGGAACAACTCCATCAAACTTTTGGTTCTCTGTCAGCAATATCCATTACAAAAGAAGCACATAGCAACACATTAGAGACCCCAGAAGCTGCATCCTGTCCCCAAGCCAAACCACTACTTGATGCAGCCGAGGTTATCACCAGCATACAAACAAAGTTTACAATCTTACAGAATGTTTCCTGTCTCAGTGACAATGAAATCTGGACACATGGTATGGAAAATATCATGAAACTCTACAACCTCCGGGGTGAAATAATTAAATCAATCAAAACCCAGTCAGGAAACAATCCACGTGACATAACAGTGACAAGAAATGGAGATCTGGTCTATGTTGATATTGAAATAAGTACTGTTAACATAGTGAAGAATAAAGAGATTCAAGAAATTATTAGAGTTCGGGGATGGAAACTTCATAATATTTGTGGAACAACCACGGGCGACCTCCTGGTCACCATGGACAGTGATTTTCGTGAACATGCAAGGGTTGTCCGTTACTCTGGTTCTACGGAGAAACAAATTATTCAGTTTGACAGTAACGGTAAATCTTTGTACTCACATGGTTATACGAAAGATATAGTTGAGAACAGGAACCTTGATATCTGTGTGGCTGACTATGAAGCAAAGGCAGTAGTGGTCGTCAACCAAGCTGGAATCTTCCGATTTAGATACACTGGACATCGCCCTTTTACCTCAGAACCATTTGATTTCATCGGAATCACAACAGACAGCCAGAGTCGCATCCTGACATCAGACCGCAGAAACAACTGTATCCACATCCTAGATCAAAACGGACAGTTACTCCTTTATATTGATAATTGTAATCTACATTTACCATGGGGTTTAAGTGTTGACAACAGGGACCACCTCTTTGTTGCTGAATGTCACAGTCATAGAGTGAAAAAAATCAAATACACGTAAATAATTCAAAGTGAAATCCACCTGTTTCGTCATTTTGTTTGTTCGTTTAGGAATATTGAGTTGCAAATAACATTGAAAACGGACGTTTTATTCTCTTTCCGATCCTATACTGAGAAAACAACTTAAAAAGTTTATTTTCACATTGAGGAAATTTAACACCCATGATGATAATCGATACCGGTACTGGCACTTTTGGGAGTCGGTACTCCTTTCACTGTCCTATCAAAGCTGCTGAAAGACATTGAATAAGAATATCTTCAGTACACTTTTCTACCTAATTTCTTTAGTATATATAGATTAAATACTACTAATATGTAATGTATATTGACAGTGAATCATATAGATATCCCTTATTATGAATAAATTAACCTTTAATCAAAGGATTAGAAGGTGAATTCTACGCGGGTTAATATACTCGGAGAACTCAATTCCTTAAAAGTAATTGGCCTCGAAGCCTCGGCTGCAATTTGACTCTGAAGGAATGAATCCCTTCTCGTATATTAACTCTTACGTAATTGTCACAAAAAAAAAACAAAAAAATCACCACATTGAATATTTAAATTTAATATCAAAATGATAATGTACAACCACTGTATAAATACATTTTTAAAAAGACTTTTTATTTCTCCTTTCAAAAATTGGAAGACCATAATGTTTTTTCCAAAAAAATCTTTTGAAGGCCTTGTAGAGATTGACATGTTTATTAAAGTCTTTCATCTTCACAAAAATCTTTATAATGATGTTTGATCCCCCCCATTTTTAAGCCTTAATCTGATATAATTTTCATGTTTTATAATTATGTTTGCTTTTTAGATTTGTATATCCACAGTTGGTGCACTGTGAAAAAACAATGGTGTAAAATCCAAGAAATCAAGGCCGCGATTTTTCAAGAGTGAAAATAATAAAAATATGCTTGTTTCAATGTTTGAAAATAAAATGAACATAATTAACAAATGCTCTTAAGTTATCTCTATCAGATTGAATGCATTTAGTTGATGGACACAAACCTTAATTCTTGAAATTTGCCGTTATCAATATTTCTCGTCTCATGAATATTCATTAAATTACACCAACCTAAAACTAATTCTTACACAAACCGGCTCGTATATTCGTATGCAACATCCTCATTGGTATTTACACGTTCTCAAGTATTGTCGTGCGATTACCAACATTCTCAGAAATTATTTAAAGTTCTTTAACACAAAAAACTTACCTGTTGTGCTATTCCTCTGGATGTATTTTCCCTGGCAAGTTCGTAAATGTAAAGAAAAGCTACTCAAACAGTTCTAAGTCACAGAAATTTAGGATTTCATTTGCGCATCTTAAATTTCGAGCTGAATTTCAAAACGAGTATATGAATACGTGTCACTACCTGTAAATGTTAACGTTGTTTCACATGAAGAGTCTGCTGCCGACTGTTCAAGGGTAAAAGAATTCCGTCCTCAGTCATACAGTTACTTTTTTTCGATCATTTTGTTTCCCATGATTTAACAGATTTACGGTTTTCCCTGCTTTAGTAGCGTAATAAAACATATTTTCAGTGTTCTATTGTTTCATACCAGATATCTCAAAGTCAAACATTTAAAATAAGTATGCCGATTTCTTCTCTTCATTAATATTTGTATTCCATAAAATACAATATACCATGAACCAAACTTCTAAGTGTTCACCTAACATTTTTGAAGTTTTAAAGAACAAATGCAAATAATGAATAGTTTCTTTAATTCTCGGTTTATGATGCACATTTAAGGGGGCCGAGTATAGTTTTATTGTGAGAAAACTACAATAGCGAGACTCTTCATTTTTATTGCGTGGACCGGGAGGTCCACGCAGTAAATATATAAGCAAGGCTAAACAGGATGCCCTGGGCATACGCCAGCCTACGCATGCACGAGAATTCTAGAGAGTTTCAATCAGCAATCTTCAGCTGACTCCGCTTCACCAATTGCAACTTCTCGGGCTTTTTCGACTAGCTTTCCGACATTCGACAGAAAGACCCAAGATGATGCGACTGAGAGTTCATTGGCGGATTAAAATTTTAATCTTGTACACATACTTTAAAACACGTACTAATCATTGAATTTATGGCACAATGGATACCTTGAGTTTTTAATTCAAGTTGTTAAGTTATCTATAGATAACTTTACAACTTGAATTAAAAACTTAATACATACTAGTTGTAGTCTTAACAGGCATTATTAAGGCTTGCAAAAAAATTGATATACATGTATATGGATTTAAATACACCTTGACACAAGCCTTTAGCAACGGCATTCCATGTGGGGGAGAGAGGGGGGGTCCAGAAAAAAAAATCTGAACTGATTTGAAACTGAAAAAAAAATTCATTCAGTTCAATTCAATTAAGGTATATGTTAATTATTAGCCAGTATGGGTTATATATGTAGCAAAATAGCCTGGATTTAAAAATAACAAAACTATATGCCAATCAGAGATTAAAATTAACACTTTTACTATGAAAGTGCTATCGGTCAAAGTAGAGAGATCACTGTAGAAAAAGCAAACGAACCTACATTAATATCCAATAAACTTAACAGATTTTCTTTGAATGAATTTCGGTTAAAAGAAAACATGCATTTGGTCCACGTATTGTAGTCATTATTTTAAAGAACAGAAACTTGTATCATACTTAACTTACATTAACTTCAGTGTACATGCAAATTATGGAGGTATTTTTGAGGGACCGTCTCAAAATACAGGTACATTTAATTTACTATAGGATTATATAGGAAAATGCCAATCTTAAGCACTTTAATACAAATTATACAAATACTACATTAGACATTTTGTTCAAACCATAATATTTGATGAGTAATACTTTATTAAACAATATATGTAAGAAACACAATACTACCGTCTTGTTTCCAGAGGGGGCATCTCAAAATGCAAAAAATAGCAAATTTTACTATTTTTATAGAGTTTATCAAAATATGACGTACACAATGGATTCACATGAAAACATAATAAAAATATTATAGAAATTTTAAGCTTTCTCTGTTTTAAATTTCAAGAGCGTATATTGTTAACTTTTTCTTTAATAATATCTTAAATAAGAAATAAATAACAAGTTTATAAACTTCAATGGGAATTGAAGTGGGTCGGTCACGTGATCAAATCCAAATTTGTAAATAGTTAATCATATGCGGGACGCAAAACTCAAGAGAGGAGGGGGATAATAAAACAACAAAAGTTTTTGTAATTCAGTTCCTTATAAAACGATAGACATACCTTTGTATTTTATTCGTAAAAACTAAAAATTATTGATTTTTATATCATACAAGTATTTTAAACTGCACTTAAGCACAGAGACCACACATGCTGTATTTAGAGTGCTCTTGACATCTCTCTGTTGACGAAGGTGATAAACATTGCCTAATTTATTCTCCAACATACTAGTTTAAGACCCGAACAATGCAAACAATTGCAGGGAATATACAGTTGTGTTTAGTGATAACCAAAACCGTAAAACCATTTATTATTTAACTCATATGACTTTCTTTTAACATAACTTTCCCTGTGAATTAAACTATAGAAATTATTTCTAAATCAAAGTGATGATGTATAACTTGATGACGTAGCACTGTTGATGTTAATATGCCTCAAAAGAAAGTAGGTCGTGTTCATAATTTAGGAATTTTTATATCTGCGTCTTTGAAAACATCATGTGACAATTGTTGGAGCTTTACATCAAGTTGACTGATAGTTGTTAGGACCAATTTAAGGGATGGACCAAAATTAACTTTTAGTAATGTGGCAGTACAAAACGTGCTAGGCAAAGCTACTTGTAGATTCATTGTTGATCCATGGTAAGTTACACCTATATCACTAGGTAGGCAACTAAACATACGTAGAATAATATTATTATTTAATAAAAAGCATTGGTTAAGATGTTAAAGCTATCATATTACAACAATTTAACTGCAAGGCTTTGCTTCCTCCGAAAACGATTTAAAGGAAGGGGGTGGTAACATCCTTCTTCAAGTAGTAAATACAGGTACCTTGATAAATAAGACACATATGTGAGTCTTGTTCATGCTTATAACGACATTGTTGCTCTTCATCATTTATGTTTTAAAGGGTAATAATTTTACAAAGTTTCAATGAAATTAAATCTTGAAAAATATTCCATAAGCTCAATTTTCTAATTTGTGAAATTATTAATTTGATTCTTTGAAGAAATTAAACGATAAACGCATAAACATACTGATGTTAACTCCCCCAACCCCACCCCTTTACATTTTATCGCATTGTTAAAGCAGTAGATTGAGTTTGGAGAGGGTTTTTAAATAATGTTTCCAAGGGTTATGCGTCTTTCTGGTTGGATTGCCCGTAAGTTTAGACCTCAGATGAGAAACAGAAAGAATATGTTTGCACTATTTTACATAGTTTAAGACAAAAATACAAGTGAATGTGACCGACTTAAAATAAATCAAAGATGGTGTCCGATGGTAAGCTTGTTTATTATCAGGTAGGGGTATATTTTTTTATAAATTGAAAAAAATAACGTCAGGTGCCTGTAGACTAACCCTGAATTATGTACTTTTTACTAAAAATATGGCGTCCTTTACACGTAAAACTAAATTATTCCTCTGTTGGAAAGTACAGTATAATGGAGTTATAATATTATAGATCTCATCGAAATAGAATCCAAACGTTATTATAAAAGGGAAAATAAAAAAAAACAAACAGGTTGAAAATATCTACTAGCAATTAAAGGTATGAATTTTTTGTAAGAGATGTTTTTATTCTAATCAAGCATGGTCGTTTTCTTTCAAACACACCTTAGTCTGGTCCAATTTATTGAAAGAAATAATTCTAACGGCAAATAATTATTATTTGGTCCAGCATAGTTTTTGAACCTATTTCGAGTATCCTGAATCCGAAAAAATATCCTGGCCTTCATGAAAATGGCGTTTAAAGAGGTCAAAATGGCGAATCAAAACGGCGGACTGCATTTTTTCTAATTTCTCTAAAAAAATAAAAAGTGTGAA